TAGCATCCATTGTAGCTCTTTGTAATTCAGTTTCTGCCTACAAAAGTGTTCCCCAACCAAAGATATATAAAAAAATCAAGTTAGAATTTATTCAGTAGAGTCATCTGTAAACACTGCCACAGCACTATTGGCTTTTTGATAGACATGTAAATTGTTCAGTGTATTTTGCTGCATAAAATAAAATGATCTCCATCATAAATGCATGCAGCAAAACAATTTTAAATCTATTAAATGACATGATCATGATTTCAAGCAAAAGAACTTTTCCTTTCCTTTCAAAAAATATTTTTTTTTTCAATATCACCCTTGGACAATTTACTAGAAGACATATTTTGTATTTCTGCTTTCATCTATTACTGTCTGCGCTATTTGTCATATTATTCTTTTATTTCTATTTTTACCCTTCCCCCCCAAAAAAAGAATAGACTTGTAACATAAGTATTTTCATTAAATATTTTAAATTGTCTAGTTTTCCAAGTGTATTAAATGTTCCTAATTCTAATAATATCCTCATCAGGTAGCTAGAATACACTTCAAATATTTATTTCAGTATGAGATTTCTATTTGAATGTTCTTATAACCTTACAATATTACAATATTATAACTTATTACTTGTAATAATATTTATAAGTAATTACAAGCTAATATTTTTACTGTTTAATTAATGACTGTATATATATCAGAAACTAATAAATTACATGGCAAGTCTAACGCTTTGCTCAATACACACTAATGGCCAGTATTCATGATACCTAGTTCTATGTTATATGATCTGTTTGGTGGCCCCTGGGCACATGTGGCTACTGACATTTAAGTCAGTTAAAATTGCATGAAAATTGAAAAACTGGTTATTCAGTTATCCTAGTTACAATTCAAGAGTTCAAAAGCCATATACAGTGACTCAGTATAGAACAACTCTCATCATGTATTTCTGTTAAAAAGTAGCATTTCTTCTTTAGAACAATATTTACTCACACATTTAATTTTTTGATAAACTCATGCCATTCATGGCAACATGGATGGAGATGGAGGGGATCCTGCTCAGTGAAATAAGCCAGAAAGAAAAAGAAACAGACCAGATGGTTTCACTTTTAGGAAGAATGCAAGGGATCAAGGGAAAAAAAGTAATTATAATAATGTTAAAATCAAAATGAACAGACAACTATAAACCAGAGCTATTCTGCAGTGTGGGGAAGACAGGAGTGGGAAGTACACAGGACTATGGTGTTGGCACATGGGTGAGCTGGGGGTGGGAATTCCACAAGGACTACCACTGAGATAAAAAAGCATATATTGTATCATTTAAGTTATTCATGGAAAAAAATTCTTATATTTGTCATCAAAGTTTTGTGACATAATATTCTGACATTTAGACCTTGATTTCTTTTTCAAGAAAATGTTAAAGTGAAATAAGTAAAAGGGTTTACTATAAGGATCCATCTCTTGACACACCATTTTATTACGCACCTGTGACTGAAATTTTTCATAAAGGAAAAAATACATTTCAAAGATAGATATTTTAAAAATAAATTAAAATCAGAGTGTTTTAGAATTCTATGTTCAGCAATTAGATCATTAATTAAAACTTTTTATTAATTGCACACTATTAGGTTAATTCAAACACACAATTTTAACATATTAAGCATTTAAAAACATTCACTTATACCTCAAAGTGTGTATTTGTGTGTGTATACATTTATCATATAGGGTATACAATTTTAAAAGCCATACAAACTTTTAGTCATAATCAGTAATCCAGAACAATTCTATTATTGGGCTTGGATTTTTAACAATATGAACTTACCATGGGAAAATTAAAGTGAAAGTGATTTTCTTTGAAACTTAGTATGAAAAGATTTCTAAGTTACCTGATGCATGTTAAACTTTTACTAATGAGAATACTCAGAGTAATTTCAATTTCACATGTGACGGATGCATTTCTTATAACTACTTTTGGCTTATGTATTTCCCCTCCATTTGAGAATTCTGTTAAAACTTTTACAGGTTGTCAGAGCTAGCTAAACTAGAAAAGACTGGGGAAGCCCAACACATGGCTGAGATATCTATCTTACTGTTTCACTTAATAGCAACTTCTTAAGTCTTAAGGTCAACATTTCTTAAAGACTCAAATTCTTTTACTTTAGCATGGCAACTTGCCTACACACAGCTGTTTTTAGCAAAGAGGATATAGATTGCTATTACTGAAAATTCCTTAAAAATCCTATAATGTACCAATTTGAGTAGGAAATGCTTTTGATGAAAATATTACTATATGACTCTAAGGATGTCAGTATATATTAAGTAGAAAAAGTTATTAGTGCACATGGTTTTAAATGGGCTGAATTAGGTTAGTGTTTTTCAAATTGGGTTACAGGAACCACCTTGGGCTTTTGGGGTAAGCAGCAGAGTAGCCCTGGGACTCTTTACTCCATCCTTTTTTATCATAATTACTCCATTTTATTTTATATATTGACTTTAATGTGCTTCTTTTAATAAGTGAATTTTAAGGGTTTATCCATTATATGGTTCTATGACTACATGTATTTTATTTTCTAGTCTAGTCTCGGGTTGTCAAAATCAACTGGAGTCATGGATCTTTCTCCGTGAATCAAGCAATTCACCCTACAGTAGTAATCTAGTTCAGTTGTTATTTATTTATTCCCATATGAATGCACAGACCTGATTCCAGGGATAAGACTACTTTTCCACAGTTGTATTTACAGCAGAGTACCTAAGATAGCCAGATTCTTCACCTTACACAGATTCAGTTCTGTTTTGGATGTCCTTCCCAATACCCCTTATTCAATCTTGCCAATTGCGCAGGAGTCTACCTTTAGATTCTGGGTATCATCCTTCAGGCACTCATCTCCAAACTAAACAACATACTAACCTCTGGCATAATTCTTAAAACTGATGACACTCCCTGACCCCATCTTATTCTCTAGTGTCCAGTTCTGAATTTGCTAGTATCCTTTGGTATGTCTGACTTGCCTATAGAGTATGCCCACAATCTGTAATCTCCAGTTTGCAGATCTTTAAGTCTCAACTACATTCTAGATGTTCCTGTCCTAGCCTGCAATGGGAGCCCTAGCCCTTTGCTGCCCACTTTTATTACAAGGTTGGGCTTATGTACCTTTGGCCCAAAGGAAGAAGGACCAGGCATTTGTCATAGAATCAGTTCACTACCCTCAGGAATGGTGGTGTTCTGGAACCTCTAATGCCCCCAAAGAGCCACTCCTCAAATAGTTTCTGGCTGAGGTGGGCAGTAAAAACCTTAAGGAAGTAGGAAGAAAACATATAAGAAAGAATAGGAAAAAGGCAGTGGGAAAAATCAGTATTTTTTATACAATTGTACCTTTCCCAGTCACTGGCAATTAGTCAGGCATTATTTTCCATTGTTCCATTTTGTCATGAACAAGACACATTCTCAGTTAAGAAATAGTCATTCTTAACAGAACCACGTTATAACAGTAAACATTCCTGAAGCTACATTTGTGTTTAGTTGTGGAATCTCAATTATACTCCTGAATCACCTGACAGTTTTTGGCTGGAAGCCACAGTTCTGGTTTCCCACAGTTGTGTTTTTTTTTTTTTTTTTAAAGATGTATTTATGCATACAGAACTGGAGAACTGGGATACAGGCCAGAGGTGCAGGAGCAGTGAGAGGATTCACCAGACACAGAGTGAGGAGCAGAACAAGCAGATCGATGACACTGCTGAGGGGAGCAGCAGGCGGGTCAGGAGAGGTCTGCCTTGCCATGTGGGTCACCTCCGGGGCAGGTAGGGTTTGAACTCATGCAGAAGTGGCTTTCAATTCTTAGTTCTGTGTTTTAACCCTCTGTGCCACCAGGGAGGGCCCACACAGTAGAGTTTTTTTAAGGTGAAGGGAATTACAATGAGAAAAGTTATTTTTCCTTCTTTTCTCAAAAGTAGGGCAGAGAGAACACTGATATATTAAAATTAAAGATACATCTTTATACATTAATCTTATAGCTAATCATGTGAAAAAACCTCCAAATTTTGAGTTTACTCTCTATAAAGCATCTATAATTAGGAGTGCTATATTTCGTGAACATCTTATTATGAAAAACAAGAAACGGGACTGAATTAGGTAGTGTATTTTCTTTACAATGAGCTAATTTCTAGATTTTTAATTTATTTATGCATATAAGAATTGGGGTGTAGGACAGAGGTGCAGGGGGTGAGAGGATTCACCAGAGATAGAGTGGGGAGCAGAATAGATAGATCTGAAATACACTGCTGAGGAGAGCAACAGCTGAGAGAGGAGAGGTCTGCTGTGCCACTGGGTCTGGCCCTCTGGCTGGGGATCCAATCATGTCTGGCTGGCAATAGCTTGACAGTGCTGAGACTAACCCCTTCATCACTGGGAAGGCCCAAAAATGAGCTAATTTGTAGTGAAAATTCCTAGATGCATGTTATTTCAAATCTCTGTCCATTTAAAAGCAGAAATGCAAAATTTCTGTATGTATTTACTTGTGTATGCATACCTTACAAAACATTTTTTTAAAGACCCACATTCAAAGGATACAATAACATGTCGATCAGATGGGTTGCGCTGGCGTGTTCTTTCTAGTTGAGTTAACTGTTTAGCTTCTCGATTCCTTGCTGTTAATGTTGCTTTGAGATCATCCTGCAAATAAGCATTTCCTGTTAACAAACATCTCTGATTTAAGAAATGAAACCCACATGTTGTTTTAAGGATAGGATAAACCTCTTTCTTTGATATAGGTACCACCACCACAGGAATCATTACTGTGTCTTTGTGGGTGAGAATGTGCACATGTATGTAATATTCCCTCTAAATAATGGCACAGACAAGATTCCAGTGCAAACTTATAACTATGCAGACTATTATATGTATTAATATAACATTTTGATTGTTATGGCTGTTACATGTGTATATACTTTTGTCAAAACTCAGGGACACTGCATGTAAAAAATGCCTCACTATGAAAAACACATTCTGGTTTTAAAAAATAGGAAGTTTGCCACACTCACTTTTAGCCTGCATTATTATTGCCAACATTAAAACAGAAATATAAACATATTCATTTAGAAAAATAATTTTGTCCATATATTACTCCTGACTATAAATGTTAAATATTTTAAAGTCTCCACAATAAATAATGCTTCATGTTGATAGTGCACTTAGTAAGCTCATTAAAATTATTCCATTAAATTCTAAGAAATGATGCTCTAGCATATGCATAAAGAATGACCCTACACTATTTTGTATGTTTTATTGAAGAAATATTTACTGGAAACCTCATACTCTTTGCCAGAATACTTGCTAATAGTAGAAAAAAAAATAAATTTACTTACTCGTTTCATTTTTACAATGGTTCCATAAGCTTTCAAAGGTTCAACTACTTTGGCTTCAAGTCTTTCGACCTATTAAAAATTATTATAAAATATAACTGAAAAGAAATGTAAACATATCAAAATTTAAATTCTGAAATAAAACCTGTTATATCAAGTATATAATTACTACACAGATTGTTTTACAAATCTTAATTAAAATGTCAGTTTAATTTGTCTTTATAAATAACTACCAGAAGTTCATAAGACTCTGAACTAAACTCAAACACATTAAAAACTGTTCAAATAGGCCCTCCTTGGTGGCACAACGGGTTAGGACGCATCACCGCAAGCTGGCCGCATCCACTTCAGTGCGAGTTCAATCCCCTGATCCGGAGGTATCCACATGGCTCCGCAGACCTCTCCTGACCCACCCACTGCCCCCCTCAGCAGTGTACTTTGTCCATTCTGCTCCTCTCTCTGCCTCTGCTGAATCCTCTCACCACCGCTGTACCTCTTGTCTATACCCCAGTTTTGTATGCATAAATAAATAAATCTTAAAAAAAAAAGATTCTAATATACAGAAAAACAAATGCAGAAGAACATTTAGTATGGAATATAAGATATCTCAGGTTACCAAGGAGTTGATGCTTGCCACACCATCATCCCTGCATTATGACTTTTCAATCTTAAAGCAGTAGCTCTTAAGCAAGTTTTGAAGACATTTCAAATTTTAATACAGCTGCTACTTTCAGTGGGTAGCACAGTGTTGAATAGGAAACCTACATTATCTCTGAAATGTAACAGTCCAACTTATCAGATAAGAAAATCAAAGCTGGAAGATATAACATATTGGAAATATTTAGAGCAACATAATCTTTCAAAGCAACAAAGCTAAGAGACCACTGTATTCACTACATATTTTTTTCTAGAAAGTCATTTGTAAATTATCAAAGTTAGAGAACAGATAAATGGTCTCAGTGTTGCTGAGCTGTCAAATTCTAGGGCTAATCTCGCTTTTTATTTTAGAACTAAACGTTTTTCTTAAACATTACAATTTTCATCACATTTTGAGTATGGCTTCTTTGACTAATAGTACCAGAAGGCACTGAAGAAATATTATAATAAAGGTAAGCATATAATTATAGCATAAGAAAAATAATTCTTTGATATTCAAATTTTCTTTTTCAGAATAGGTAATACAAGATGACGTTTATTTAATAAAATGTACATATATTATTTTGGTAGCAGGAAAAGCCTTTTTAATGCTACATGCTTACCTAATCAGTGGATATATTTAATTTTATATATTTTTAGTTTTTATAAGCAAAATGTATATGAATATTTCATTTTGAAAGATTTTAGGAAAATGAAGAAAATTAACTTCTCATGGATCATTTAAATATTAGGAAGCTTAAAATCAAAACAATGAATATTCAGGATAGTTTAGCTTATACCATTTCTAATATTCCATAAACTGACTCATCAGTGTATGGATTATTCCAGTCTTTTTTCTGTTCTCCTTTTTGTTGCCTACCTTCTGTTCACTGTTCATTAGCACCTCCACCATTTGGTAAGCAAAGGAAATAAAAAGGAGAACAAATGAAATCAATTCACTTTGCTAGTTGATAATGGCATAAAAGTTTTCTAGAAAGGGGCATTGGAATTATTGCCTAACATGGGATTTTAGGATTATCTCTAGGTACACATTATTTTTGAAACATTAAATCCCCAGTTATGCACAACTGAGAGTTGCTTATTCATTCATTACAGAAGAAATGTCAATTGATAAGAATTCAACATTTTCCCAAAAAGTATCCCCAAATGAAATGACTCAACTTTCTATTTGAATAGCAATTATTAGTTCAAAGATCTTTTTTTATCCTTTCTTTTTGAGAATTGAAGTTTCTATTTTAGGCTTTTTTTTTTAAAAAAAAGAACCAAAAACACGAATAAGTATTAAAAAAGCTACTGCAGCTCTAATTGGGCAACTTCTGACGAAACTAAAATAAATATATATAAGGCTGCAAGTGAAAATGCTTATGAGTTATTGAAGAAACACAAGGGAACTTTTAGATTAAAAATAATTACAACAGCATCTTCCTCCTTTCCTCTCTCCAGCAGAAAAAAAATCTGCAAATTCTTAGTACTGGTTTGCATCCATGTTATAAATCAGATTCTTTTTTCAGTCACCTTTCCAGAACAAAGACTGTATCCATTTATTACTAGTTCATCCATAGTACAGTTCTCAACATCTTCCATTGTTAGAGATAACTTTAAAATATACTTACCTGCACACGAGACACAAACTATGCCTCTTTTCTTCCCTATGAGTATTGTGTACTACCCCTACATATCGCTAACGTTGGCCAAAAGTTGAGAAGTGGGGAAATTCAAGGCTTCAAGAAACCCTAAAGTTTAGCTTGAAAAATGGTAAAATCGCTGAAAGCTGCCCTTGAACAGACTCACACAATGTTACAGCCATATAAATGTGTGTTGGCCACTGAAGTTGGGCAGATTACACGTGAAAAGTCTTCAGGGGTCCTTCATCCTCTACTTCAGGGTCATCATAACAATGACGCTGAGACCTCATGCCATACCTCTGCCTGGCGATAATCCTGAAGTTTGGCAAACTCGTCAGCAAAGTTTTTCAGACCCAGCTTCAAATGAGGGGTCTCGGTAGAGGCATACATGTTGATTGCATTCACCAGGAGGTCTGCTTTGTCTCGCAGTCTGGCAGTTTTCCGCACGTAAGCAGCAAATATTTGGCACAGCTCTCCGAAGTGCTTCTCCACATTGGTGACAGCATCTTGCAGTTGTCTGGTTTGAGCGTCCCTAGAGAAAAAGTGACACAAACATCATTCTTATTAGAGACGGGATAGGTTCATCCTCACGTTCATTTGACAGGCAAACACTCCCGGGTCCTTTTGCAGTTTCCAAGGCAAACACATCAAAGGATCAATATCTCCGGTCCTCTTGGTCTCCCTGCCGGGCCCTGCCTCACATCTCGACGGGGTGGCGCAGGGATCGGGATCCATCCCGCCTGGCCGCTGCGGGGGTGGCGGTGGTCTGGGCTGCCGGGCGCCGCACCGCCTGGGCGCGGGTCTGCGGGGCAGAATCTGCACGGCCCGCGACAGCTCCGGGGCCAGAGCCCGGGAGCACAAGGGAAGCGTACGCCCCGCCCGGGGCTCCCGCCGACTTCCGAGGCTTTCTGCAGCCCAGGGACATAGGCCCTAGCGCGCAGAGGCCACCGTCCAGCCCCGACCTAAGGGAGAAATTCGGCGCGCAGGCCCGGGAGAGAGGCGCCACTTCCCCCACCCGAGTCCTCGCGTGTGGGGGCGCTGGGCAACTAGGGCCCGGGGCGGTTACCGGCTTTCCAAACTGCGCCTCAGCATCTTGCCCCGCGGACGCCGGGAGATCCGGGGCTGGGGCCCAACGACCGGGGCTCCGCGGCGCCGGGGCTCGAGCTGC